CACAGTCGAGCGGCCCCTGCCTCTAACGCTTGAAGAGCTCTTCAACGGTGTGACCAAGAAGATGAAGATTAAGCGTAAGACTTACGATGAGACCGGAAAGAGAGTCCAGACCGACCAGATCCTTGAAGTACCTATCAAGCCGGGCCTGAAGAAGGGTTCCAAGATCAAGTTCAACGGAGTCGGCGATCAAGTAGAGGGAGGCCGTCAAGATCTTCACTTTATTGTCGAAGAGGTAAGCAGACCGTGTCATAATTCTTTCTATGAAACAATGACTAACAAACCTACAGAAGGAACATCCTCTCTACAAGCGCGAGGATAACGACCTTGTCCATGTGGTAACCCTTGATCTCAAGGAGGCCTTAACCGGCTGGCGAAGGACCGTGACAACGATCGACGGTCGACAGCTCAACCTCGAGAAGGGAGGCCCAACTCAGCCCAACAGCGAGGAACGTTATCCTGGCCTGGGTATGCCCATCTCTAAAAAGCCTGGCCAGCGAGGCGACTTCGTCATCAAGTACAAGATCAACTTCCCAGCAAGTTTGACTGCTGATCAGAAGCAGAAGCTCAGGGAGATTCTGTAAAGCGGCGCCGTCGCCGAACCTACCTGCAACTCTTACTGGATACTAGACGTTCGCTTGGGGAAATTTCCAACCTCAGCAGCATCGGGATTCGGTTAGGAAGATTTGCACTACATTCAATTCAAATGGTGTTTTGGCGTTTGGGGTTCTAATGATAATGAAAAAGAGTGGAAGTTCGACTGCACAAGCCTTAGCGTGGAAGGTCAGGCCTGGTTGCCCAGAGTACACAAGCGACATGAGAATGATAGGAAGTTGACTAGCATACGGCTTTTTGATATCCATTTGACGGCTGTTCTAATTGGTGTCTTAGTAGAAACGATGTCATATATACTATAGTAGCTGTCTCTAATAGTACGACAGATTCAAGATCGAAAGAGAGTAATTTGCTGAATGCCCGAGGAACTATCCGTATGAGGTAAAAACAACTCATCTGGTACGATCGCGATTTGGGAGGGTAAATACTCTTTGTATCGCTTAATACGGTATGTTACAAATCCCGCAACTGGTATGACGAGGGCGTTTATTGGAGGTCCACCGCCGTTGAAGAGTGACAATGTTTACGTGGACCATGCATGTTGATAGACGGACTCTGGGTGAACTCTCCGAAGCCTGAACCGCCATATCTTTGTACTCACTTACATATGCTTATGCGAGGTCATCACTGTAGGTCGGTCTAGTGCATACTGAGCATAATCCATGATTGTCAGAGGCTCAAAGAGCAAAAGGCAATGGTGCGGGCCGGTTGACTGGAAGAAAACGGGTCCCTCTTTTTAGTGTCATATTCTAACAGGGATTCATAGTGCTTTGATGACGACACTGGGCGGTTCTTAGTCGGACCTTACCTTGGCTGAATGGAGGGGGAGGGGCATTTGATTCGATCTGATGTTGATGCTGGGTTGACTTGCGAGGGGTTTGTTTTGTCTGACTTCCACGTGTTGACGATCGACAGTTCTTTGAAGAGCAAGCCGTTTCTTTTCTTTGGTTCTGTGAGTATACAGAGGAGTATTTTATCAGCACAAACAGCTCTTCTAGCTGTTCGATTTAGTATATAAGTTAAAAAGACATTGGATTTTAGAAAGCCCTCACTGCTGTAGCTAATAAGTCCCCTTGGGGTGGCTACCTACCTATTCATGAACGCGGGGTTTCTTGTTGAATCTTACGCATGAGGTGCAGATGCATATCAAACAACCTGTAGAGTTCATTGCAAGACAACCCGGGCAACCCCCGGCATCACACAGTCGCACCTGCATATTCCAATTACAGCATATTGCAGTTACAGGCAGTCGTAGTAGCAATGGCAGGTGCAGTTCCCGTTACAGTTCGAATGTCCCTGCTCCGTTGAACCAAGGCACATCCTCCATAAAACCTCCGTTCCCCCACAGTAGCTCCGTCACTGTCTTTTCTTCCTTCACCTCCATCTATTCCTTGCTCCACCTGATTTCCACAAGGTTCTTCTCTTCTTCTCTTCGTAATACACCCAATTCCTCTGGGAACTCGTCTTTGCTTCTTCTCTAGAACTTTCTTCACCACAATCCGCCAAAATGCCCGAGGTATGTTGCTCATGCAATCTCGATCTTATTCGCGCTTACACTGACAATTTCCAGATCAACACCCTCCTGTTCGATTGCGACAACACACTCGTCCTCTCTGAGGAGCTTGCCTTCGAGGCTTGCGCTGGCCTCATTAACGAGATCTGCGAGGCTCGTCAAGTCGAGATGCGCTTCACTGGCGAGACCCTCATCAAGGAGTTTGTCGGTCAGAACTTCCGCGGCATGCTCACCACCCTCCAGAAGAACTACAACATCGAGATCTCACCTGAGGACATGGAGACCTATGTTCGGAAGGAGGAGGACGCAGTAATTGCCAAGCTCAAGGAATCTCTCCGACCTTGTGTTGGTGTTGATGAGCAGCTCGAGAAGCTTGCTGCCTCTGGCAAGTACACCATGTCCGTGGTTTCTTCCTCTGCCCTCCGCCGTGTCCGTGCCTCCATCGAGAAGGTCGGTCAGGACAAGTATTTCCAAGGCGATGTTGTCTTCTCCGCCGCCACAAGTCTCGAGAAGCCCACCAGCAAGCCTGATCCCGCTATCTACCTTCACGCTCTGGAGAAACTTGGCAAGAAGGCCGAAGAGGCTGTCGCTATTGAGGACAGCAAGAGCGGCACTCTTAGTGGTACTCGGGCTGGTATCAAGGTCATTGGTTATGTTGGCCCTTATGCTGAAGACAAACAGCCCGAGATGGAGAAGACTTTGAGTGACGCTGGTGCTGTTGTCATCATGCGGCACTGGTCCGAGTTCCCTGGTGCTCTGCAGAAGATTGAGGCAGGTGAGGTCTAACGAAACGAGCTTTGTTGTTGAAATTGCTTTGAGGAATACCCAAAATACATATCGGTCAAATAGCGAAAGAGATGGAACAAATCACCTAGATCAACTGAACTAATAATAAACTTTACCAACCTTCTGCCCCGTTGTGGTAACCATTCGCCATTTGAGACAATGTTGAAACTGAGACACGACACAGCTTGTTGTCTCAGGTAAAAGGTCATTGTCTCATGATTAACTTGTTGATCTCGAATATATATATATTCTATTTGAACTGCATCATTTTCGCCAGTCCATTAAAAAGCTGTTGACACTCTGTAGAGTGGCCCGACTGGGGTTGGCGCTTGGGTAAGCTGTCATGATGAAACCCAATCTCGACTTTATGAAAGTCTTTGTAAATGAGGCGTCTTCTGTTGATTTTCTGATGTTCCCGTCATCATCAAATAGGTAGCATGATATCGCAAGGGCCACGCCGACTGATAGATCTCGCCCTGATTCGCATGCCACCACAATTCGTTGCTGATCAGGCTCTGTGGCCGAGGCAAGATATTTAGCAGCAAAGCCGCATATTTCAGGCAGAGAAGTGCGAAGGTTGCGACTAGCCAGCTTGTTTTTGCCAAGGCCGGCTTGCATGTAAGTCTTGGATTTTATCCAGCTATCCTTTGGTGTGGAGTCTTGAGTTATGACAATGCGACATTCTAAGGGGTTGGCGGGAAGTGGTAAAGGGCAAACTGAAAGGTTTTGTGTCAGCTTTACTTGTGTTCCTTCGTCTTTCTTGCTAGCAGCATGATCGCCGACTAGTCTGGAGATCAGATCTGGCAGTTCAGCCTCCGGCGTCTTGAGAAGCTCGTCAATATTCTCCCAAAACAAAGGCGCTGTAAGGTCATGCGCCCACATCTCAGTATCGTCAGCCGCACCTTGTATATATCCTCCCTCGTCCATCTCGCTGCCTACAACTCGGCGACTAGCCGTGCAGCATATGACAGGGCGGAAGTCGTCAAATATGGAGGATGTGTCTTGGACAGAAGGAAGAGATGAGTCTGGGGTGACCCAGAATGGGCGGAGTGGTTTTGTCAGGCATGTTGGAAGATTGAGATTGAGTGCCTTGAAGGAAGCAACGAATCCAGGGATGAGTGCGCATATTTGGGAGTGCGTTGTTGCTGGGAGATGAACTGGCAGATAGAGATTTGCTGAGGATGGGTTTGAGGGTAGAAGAGTTAGGTTGAGGACTGTGCACCAGATAGGAATCGTCGATGAAAGGGCATCAGGCATCCCTATATAAGTCAGTCGTCACTGTTTCCGAGGCTCTGGTTGTCATGAGAGAGAACATACTCTTTCCACGGCGAGTAGAGTCGACGATTATGATACTGTCAACATGTTAGTTGTCGTATAACGGGACAATGACTAGGCCTCTATACGTACCCATCATTGTTCTCAATAAGCTCAACCAAATGCAAGTTCAACCTCCTAGTGCTAAATTTCCACGCCCTCTCATGGCCATCTGTACTCTTGAAATACGCACTTGCACCTTTACGCTCAGGCGGAATATACCAACTTCCACAACGTTCATTAGCCACAAGTGGTCGCGGGCTATAGGCTTGAGACACCGCATCCACAAAGTCTGCGTCGGTTTGGATGCTAGTCAGACGGTTGTGGATTGTAAGCGTGGTGCGTTTGAAAGACGCCATGAGTTGGGACATGGACAGTTGTTCATTTTGAGGGAGTATCAGATCGGAGAAGCGGGGTTCAGGCATGATGGCTATACAGGGAGAAGATGTTTCATACGAGGTTAGCCTGAGCTTTTATGTAGTGAGAAGTATTGAAAGATCAAACCCGGCTCTGTAATGAGGGTATATAAGGTGTGATGTTGAGTTTTTGGTGGAGCTTAAGAGTTTAACTAAAGGGCATGGTGTTTTAGTATCCACCCCGCATTAGACTCTGAGCATAATCATATTCACTAAGGAACCGGTAGATCACTTCTTAAAAGGTTGCAATAACAAAAGACTTGATCATTACTTTTGGCCGTAACCCATCAGGCATTTCTACACGTAGCATATGGTATATATCTTTCCCCTATTCCTTTCCTTTCCTTTCCTTTCATCCATTACTCCAGCCTCCACTTGCCGTTCTCGACAACAATCTTGACCTCTCGGTTCTTATCAATACTTCTTCGGCCAGCCTCAAGAATAGCCGTTGTGGCAATAGTGTTTTTGAGAGTAGGGAGAGGCTTGGCGTCAAGGTCCTCAGGCTTGAGCTTGCCAGAGTTGACAGCTCTGCAACCATCAACGAACTTCTCAATAGAGATGTAACCATAGCCAGTCTGGCCAGCGAAGTTGCCATCCTCATCAGGAGCATACTTCATATAGAAGGGGTTGTACCACATCAATTGACCGATAGAGTCATCCGCGACGTCGTAGCCACGCTTGGCCTGGTCGACACGGATCTCACCGTTGGCAGCGAGGTAATGGAAGTATTGGTTCGAGTGGACACCGGCCTTTTGGGGGGCGGTCCACGAGGCTGTGTAGACACCAACGGCTCGCTTGCTGGGCTCGCCGTTCTTGTTCCAGGTGACGAGAAGCGAGATGGTATCCTCGGTGATGGAGTCGCAGCCTAGGTCAACAGCAACACCCTTGGAGGAAGAGGCGTTAACGCTCACGGGCACATATCCGCGCTCCTGGACCATTGAGTCGCAAATATCGATGTGGTGGCTGTTGAGGTAGTAAGAGATATCAGACTCCTTTCCAGCCCATGCCTTGAAAGTCTCGAGCTGTGATTTGGGCTGAGACATGTAACTGTAGAAGTAGTTGAAGTCGCCGAGCTTCTGAGCTTTTGCGCGAGCATCAGCGTAAGCAGGGTCGTAACGCTTGTGGTGCTCAACGTAAACGTAGACACCCTTCTTCTGGGCGAGATCAACCAGCTCCTGGTGTTCCTCGAGGGCCTTGACAGCGGGCTTGGTGATCATGACATGGATGCCGCGCTCAATGGCGTACTTTGCGATGGGGAAGTGGGTAGGGTCGGGGGTGAAGATTGTGATGGCATCGCCAGGCTTGAGAGCGTCAATGGCGGTCTTGTAAGCGTCGGGGTCGACCTTGTCGTTTGCTGGGAATGAGTCGAAGGAGGTGTCGAGGTTGTTGTAGACTTGTTGGATGTTCTTGTTGAGATGTTCGCCTGGGGGAAGTTAGTCATGATCATGACAGTATTGTCTGGGGGATACTTACGAATAGCAGGGAACTTCTTGCCATTGACGCCAACCATGCCCAGCTTGTTGACCTTTTCGCGACGGCGCAGATCAAAGAGACTGAGACCAACGACGCCAACCTTCTTGTCTGAGCCAGAGGCACCGCCACCGACGAAGCCGGTGGTGTACTCTCCAGTACCAATCTAAAGGTTTCGTATTAGTAACCTAGCATGAAATGAGTGTGAGAACGTTGTTCTTGGATCAACTCACCATGAGAACATTGAGAGGCTCCATTGTGATGTTAAGCCGAGGGGCAAGGCGGGGGAGGGGCAGAAGCTATGATGGGATCAAAAACAGGGTATGAGGGTATATAAACGAGTCCCAAATTACGTATGAACGTGTATGGAGGTCAAATTAAACGCGAGAGGGTGTAGAGACGAGGTCTAGAGTGCAATCATGAGAAGATGGACATGAAGGTTGAATACTGTTCTTATGAATGCTCGCTCATGTCTCCGCTAGCTTGGAACAAAAGCTGGGGGACACTTCGGGGTTCTCTCCGGACGTGATTGGAGGAAAAAAGAGTCCCCGCGTCGAATCCCCCCAATCTCAAGCTCGAGAGATTGACAGCTTTGGGAATATGGAGTCATGATGCCGGATAAATCTTGTGTCGAGGTGCTCATGTGAGTGTGGGGATGATACAGCTTCGCAGAAATCTGGGGGAGACAGTGGTAGGGGAAGAGATTGAGACAGAATCCTTGAGATGATGGTGCCATTGCTATGTATCCTGTTGCGGTCGATTCGGTGATCATATTGGTGGTGTTTGTCTCACATCGATAGCTAACATCGGGGGCGGGGAAATCCCCTCGTGCTATGACAGAAACCGTCAAAATTGGAGAGAATGAATGATCTTCACAGTACATACATAATTTACAGAGGCGATAGGTTATCATGACAGCAATTCTTGAGAGTACGGATACTGGACTACCTAATGAAGGATAGATCGATTCATTTCCCATTCTGACTAGAGAGGTATCTCTCACAGGAACCATAAGTTCGATGGAGCGTCTAGAAGCCAGAACCACCAGCCCCCAAACCCATGAGGATCATCACTCTAAATTGCCATGGGTTGCGAGGTGCAGTGAGGGGAGAGGGGTTCAGACTACAGAGAATTAGTGCTTTGGAGGGGCCGATATCCCCCCACCCCCACGGCACTAGAATCCCCGGCTCATGACCGAAAGCAATGGTAATCATGGGTGATATGATTTGATGTTCACAGCAGCAGAGTTTATAGTTACAGCTTGTGAATCATCAGTTGAAACCGTTTCAGCGTCGTATATAGATTGTTGATAACATCAATTGTCGTCACGTAATCAAGTGCCGAAAGTCTATCAAAAGCTTACTCACATCCAGTTCCAAGTAAATTGATAGGTACAATATCAATCAACCTTAGTTAGTCTCGTGACTTTGACCCCTCACGTAACACGGCATCAGGTGCCACGTTGGGGGTACCATCGCCAGAAATTCTCCGCCCACTCAGAGCCAGACTTTGACTTTTACCCCATCAACACCAAACGCCAAATTCCTCACCTCGACAATTTACAGCACACTGCCAAGTAAGTAACTAACTCGGGCGCGCACACACTCAGTGCAAGTACAGTACAGACATGTACAAGCACAAGTACAAGCACAAGCACAGCCCGGTCACCTTCCGGTCAGTCTCGATAAACCATGCACTTTGCCTCTCTTACACACCGTGACGCCGCAAAATACAAGCCTTGGTCAGCTCGGGGTCCAAGGCAAAAGGGTGACTCTCCACCTGGACCTACTGTACATAGAGCTCATATCCCGGCCGGCTAATCGACATCAGCGCGGGATGTTGAACATGGATTTGCCAAGCGATCCAACGGTTTCTTAGACCTTGAAGCCTCCGTCTCCTGTTCGTCCCGCCTAACCGGTCCCCCTCGTCTGTTTCTAACCAGCATTGAGACTGGTGATGGATGGGAGAGGGTGCATCAATAGATGTCAGTGCGAGCGAGAGTTGTGTTATTCATGGTAGTGGTGGTGTTTCGCTCTGATCGGAAGTGCCGATCTCGCATCCTATCAAACAGATCACCCGGCAGCTGAAGAGGCAGGCAATCGGTCATATTGGCATCCTCTTGGCCTGGTTATACTACCTGCAGATGTTTTTTTCTCTATCTGTCCGTCGACTTTAGCCGCAGCATGATATGGCATCTTGTTGCATCATCTTGTTCGGTGTACTCAGTGTGACCAGATTACGTGACGGCGTATGACAGTCTCATAGCCTCAGACCCAACACATCACTTCTGAGCTCTCTCTGCCGAATGTTGCGCAACTCTTACCATCCCAAATGGATATTTCGGTGGTCCTCTCTTCTCCAGACTTACATTGCATTACTCCAATTGGGGGGCGATCGAGCCAATACCCACACGGTCCTTTGAGCACTTGACTTCCCGAGGCGAATCCACCCCCAAACTGGTTACTCTTACCGCGAGGTACGGATACAGTAGCGTAGGTAGCGTAGCGAAGGTACCGAAAATGGATTTGTCGGTTCCATTCGACATGATGTCTTGAGGTTTATACGCTACCGTATAGTGAGGTATGCTAGCTATAAAGTCCCTCTCCGTTTCATTTAAACCCCGGCTTGTCCTGTTCTGTTCCGTTCCTGCTTCGTTGCTGTCTGTCTTTTACTCTTCCTCCATCTATTATCGTCTCTCATAGTCTACTCCACTAGCCATCATTCTCCAACAAACATCCCCAGGCACACTAGACATCTCATCATGACTACTTCTAACGGTGTTACCAACGGCCAAAATGGCCATGCCGCCGCTCCCAAGTCGCTCCCTACCGGGATCTACGCCCCTGTCATGACCTTCTTCGACCCTGAGACTGAGGAGCTCGACATTCCCACCATTAAGAAGCACGCCGTGCGATTAGGTCAAGCTGGCCTGGCCGGTCTCGTTGCCATGGGCTCCAATGGCGAGGCTGTTCACTGCACACGTGAGGAGAAGATTGCCGTCACAAAGGCTACCCGAGAGGCCCTGGATGAGGCTGGTTTCCAATCTGTTCCCGTTTTCCTCGGAGCCACTGAGGGCAGTGTCAAGGGCACTATCGAGCTGAGCAAGCTGGCCGCTGAGGTTGGCGCTGCTGCCACTCTTGTTCTCCCTCCGTCTTACTACAAGGCCCAGATGAGTGAGGATGCCATTTACAACTACTTCACCGACCTCGCCGATGCAAGCCCCATCCCCATCATTCTCTACAACTACCCTGGTGCTGTTGCTGGCCTTGACATGGACAGCGATCTCCTCATCAAGCTCGGCCAGCACCCCAACATTGTCGGCACCAAGTTTACCTGTGGAAGCACTGGTAAGCTCACCCGGGTTGCCCTCGCTACCGATGCCAGGACCCCCTTCCAAGAAGGCTCTGGTTACCTTGCCTTCGGCGGTATTGCCGACTTTACCATCCAGACTCTGGTCAGTGGCGGTAGCGGCATCATTGCTGGTGGTGCCAATGTCATGCCCAAGACCTGCGTCAAGGTTTGGGACCTCTATGTTAAGGGCAAGAAGGATGAGGCTCAAGCTCTCCAGAAGAAGCTCTCCAAGGCCGACTGGGTTCTGACCAAGGCTGCCATTGCCGGCACCAAGTCTGCTATCCAGAGCTACTACGGCTATGGTGGCTACCCTCGACGACCCCTACCCCGTCTCAACCCGGAGCAAGCCAAGGGCATTGCTGAGGGGATCAAGGAGCTCATGGAGATTGAGAACTCGCTATAGTTCACGGTCGATGTTTGAATCTGTTGTTTGCTTGTCCAGTTGAAAAGACCACTGACATGGATGGGTATGAGTTTGCATAGCGTTGCATTTAATGATGAAAAGTACCCAATGGACTAGACATGGATTTGGGTATGGGCCTGTACCTTCTGGGCTTGGTCATGATTATAAAATTATGAATGTAAATGAACAAATGACTTAAGCCGAGCTATCATGGTGTCTTATTGTGAAACCTACTCATGAGCGATGGGTCCTGAATATGCGTCATATCACATGCTACCCTTGAAAGATGAGCTTTCTGCTGTCATGCCTAGATGCATCGCGACTTCGCCGATCATGACTGCGTTGGCTGCTACTTAGACCGATTGCGGTCTCAGCTTCTGGGCTGCTCGTCTCGTCGATTTCGAAATGGCTGTCACACAGACACTAGGTGCCAATTTCCATTTCCAACAGATCTCTATAGTTCATAATCAAGGAGAATAAATTCAATGGCTTAATTAATTCATAATGTTCTTCTAGAACATTAACTACAACTTCGTTTCTCATGACAACAAGATACTATAGGTATGACATACATCCAGTTCAATTCCTATTTCCTTCACGGTGTAAGCTGCCCTGGACCCTTCCTCGACATAACCGTAGACGTCATTGGTTAATTGATCCCCGCGTCATCCCTTTGGGTCTTAGTGAATTGGAGCTGGTCGGTTCTTCTTTTCTCGATTCAAAGATTACCCTTTTTTGATACTAGCGGCTGCTCGGATAGGCCGATAGTCGCCGATCGTAACCACGGATATATCAACAACGCCCTTTTGTCAGTAATCCTCAATTCCATCTCACATAAGTCTTACACGGGGATACATGAGACTAATCTGACCGCCCGCAACAAGTCTTTCTTCAGTTGATTCCTCCTTCGTTCAACTGCGTGGTAAGCGTGAAGATGCGTGAATCTGCCAGCGGCAGCGTAGCATCTGCCGTGGCCGAAAACGGCACGAATGCACTCAGCGATGAACGAACCCCGTTGCTCAAGTCCACAAGTCAATCTCAGAATCAAGATGCCGAACCACCAAGTGAAGCTCAAGGAGATGACCCTGATCGAGGCTTACCAGCAGGACAAGAGGAAGAGACAACCGTTGTTGCTGAGGAGGTATCAACTGGCCGGTTGGTTCTCATCTTTGGCACAGCGTGGATTGGAGTCTTCCTGGGCGCCATCGACTCTACTATTATTGCGACTCTCTCTGGGCCAATTTCGAGCGAGTTCCAATCCCTCAGCCTGTTGTCATGGCTTGCAACTGCCTACCTCATCTCCAATGCCGCATGCCAACCTATTTCGGGGCGGTTGACAGATATCTTTGGCCGAGGACCGGGCCTCGTATTCAGCAATATATTCTTCGCAGCCGGTAATCTGATCTGTGGTCTGGCCCGTGATCAGACTACCATGATCATAGGACGTGTTGTCGCAGGTATTGGAGGTGGTGGATTGATGAGCATATCGACCTTCCTGGGCTCAGACTTGGTCCCTCTACGTAAGAGAGGCATTATCCAGGGCTTAGGTAACATCTGCTATGGATCTGGTGCAATGCTAGGTGGTGTGTTTGGCGGCTTGATTAATGATCACACATCCCAGGGCTGGAGACTCGCCTTCTTGATCCAAGTACCTCCAGTACTCGTCTCTGCTGTAGCAGTTCATTTCTTGGTCAGGGTTCCACCTAAGCAGTCGGATAAGTCGTTCCTTGCACGCATCGACTTTATGGGGGCATTCCTGACATCTTCTTTCTTGGTCTTCCTGCTCTTGGGCCTCAACTCAGGTGGAAATCTTGTGCCGTGGACTCACCCTCTCCCGCTGACCACGATACCCCTTGCTTTCATCACATTTGGCTTATTCTTGTTCTGGGAGAGTAAAGCCCGCCAGCCAATCATACCAGTGAAGCTTCTTCTTGATCGGACTGTCTTGAACGCCTGCCTCTGCAACCTTGCCTGTACGATGGCGGTAATGGGGGCGCTCTTCTATGTTCCTCTGTACCTGCAGGTTCTTGGCAGTAGTGCCACACAGTCTGGCATCCAGATTCTCCCATCACCGATCGGTATCTCAGTGGGATCTCTCCTCTCGGGCTTCATCATGAAGAGAACTGGTAAATACACCAAACTGGGTGTAGTGGGCTTGCTTTTCCTTATTGCGGGAGTTGTGGTTCTTACAATCCAGAACGAGCATAGTCCCAAGTGGCTGATGGGAGTTTCTTTCTTCTTGATCGGTTCTGGATATGGTGCAACCCTCACAACGACGTTGTTGGCATGCATTGCTGCCGTTGACCACTCTCAGCAGGCTGTCATCACCTCTGCAACCTGTGAGTTGATTAGACGTATCTTACTGAGTTCGCATTGCTAATAAGCTTTAGATCTGGCACGCAGCCTCGGTAGTACTGTAGGAGTTACCATTGGCTCAGCTGTGTACCAAAACATCCTCAAAGCTAGACTTTGGGACAGATTCGGTGCCGAGCCTGGGGCTGCAGATGAGATTCGCCGCATCAGAGATGACTTGGATGAGATCAAGCATCTTCCAGAAGGATGGTATGACGGCGTCATCAGCTCTTTTGTAGAGGCCTTCAGGGGAGTGTGGCTTACACTGCTTGCCTTTGCTGTCATTGGGCTACTGTGCATCTCGCTCATGAGGCAGCACACCCTTCATTCGACTCTTGAGAGGCGGTGATTGCTTTTTGAAGCGGAGTCATGAATGAGGACCATATCGTGATGGGTTTGAAAGAGTTGGAAGAAAAAGAAATTGAAAATGCTGGAAGGATAGGTTAACGCAGCGGTTGAAGATCCTTCCCAGGTATACCTGTAGAAGATCACGGATATTTGTGGATAATGTGACAAAAGTTGAAGGTGTGGATAGTGCTGGATCAAGGTTTCAGCCAGTGCTCGAATGGGATCGGTGCTGGTGATGAGGCATCTACAATTTCCATTTAAATTAGACGCCTCTTGAAAAATGGCTTTCTTAGAGTCTCAGAATATATCGATATTTCTGCATTCTTCGTCTTTGGATTTCAAGAACCATCAACACTGACCTTTCATCTTCTACCTCGACCTTGAACTCTGAAGAGCTCCGTAGATTAAACATTACTACATAGTTTACACCTCATCAGCCTCATCAGATCTAGCTCGACTCATAAGCCACGACTGGTCACTCTGGCCGAGTCCAGCGATGACAAAGTTACAGGTAGCTCTAGCAAAAATGTCTCGGTTGACTCTTCGAAACTCACTCCAGAGCTTACGCCGAGAGAGAAAAGCAGTCGAAGAGGCTATACTTGTGTTCATCTGAAATTCCCCTCCTGTTTAGAGTAACCTGAAACTTGGTGCAGATGTCACACAGCTTGCCATGATTTTAGTGTTTTGACCTTTTATTGCAGGCTGTTTCAATAGTGAGTAAAGACTGGTTCTAATTATCCGACCGACATTGCTGAGCAGCATACCGGAGCACTTTCTCTGTTGAGGACTCACCTAAAAAGCCTACTGGCTGTCACTAATCTGAAAGTCAATGAATAATGTTTGGTTCAGCTCAAGATTGGGGAACTAACGATATCTGGGGTTCCCCCGAGGTACCATTATGAATGCTCATAAAATCGACACAAAGCAATGCAGATATAGACCTTTCGTAAGAAAGGTCTGAAGTCAGCTTGAGGTAGGTCTAGATCCGTGATTGGAGCTTATACGGGCAGAGCCAAGAGTCTTGACCCAGGGGGTAGGCATAGATCTCGACCGCTCAAGTTGTTAACGATACACCCTTTCCGGATACGATATAACCTCACTATTAGCCCAATTTCCTATTGATTATATCTTGATATTAATTTGTGTAGACTATAAAAGTCCGTTGTAAAGGGTATGGTCTGGTCATGTCTTCATAAGAATATGCGTAGGCTTTCTCCTCATGAGTTGCAGATGGGAACTCGCGAAGGCATCTACACCCCTAAAACCTTGGATCATACACCAAGGTAGTGCAAAATCCCCTTTGGGAGCGTTGTGTTACACAGGTTGAGCTTGGCAAGCCAGAAAACAACCGTTTTGAGACACTAATTAACTTTGTCACTTTTGGGGACCATTCCTTCTGGCCAAGCTTTGTATGATATGACCTAGATGATGACTGACCCTATTGGACGACAGGGAATATTAAGCTCGGCGTATATCATGCAAGAGTAATATTTTTATCATAACATACTGTTCAAGGGATGTCGCATTCCTGGAGTTGTGCAACTCGAGGGTCACATGGCAGTGTCTTTATACGGACTGGGGAATAGTTTCGGAGTTGTTCACAACAAAGACTACGGTCAAAGCTCCTAAGCTTGCGGATATTTCAACCGGAGATAACGCAGGTCAAGAGCTACAAAGCGCCTGGCCACGAGATATTCAGAGACGGCGGCCGACGGACTTGTTGGAGCGCTGAATGGTCGCCCAGCTAACTATTAGTTTCCGTCGACTACGGGAATATGTATCGTAAGATGGCTTGAGCACTGTCCATAGGTGAAGACTTTGTAGACATATAAATCGCTGCAAAAGCTATGTTGATATTTGTTGTAGAATTATGTCGTCCTCGATACGGCGTCAAAATGAGAGTCTAGATCTAGTCACTGTCTCAGATATCGAGGTCTGGAACGCCACCGCTGCCGCTTTCACCGAAAAGCCACCTCGCTTGATGGTAAAGTTTATTCGAGTGTAAGAGGTGTCATTAAGAAATGCTATTGAAAGGCTGTTTGGAGGATGATGGTGGCCAGATCCGGAAAGAGATTCGTGGGCTAGACTCTGACGTGAAGTGAAGTGAAGTGAAGTGAAGTGAAGTTAGGTCAAGCCAAGTCAAGTCATGCACGGACAACGATGGTACAACGTCTGCTATTTCCTCAAGCGTTGTTTCTGTAGGGCAGAGTGGCGAGAAGGTACAGTATTAGAGTGAGGCGTTGTCTGGACTGTACTGTTTGTTGGTCCCTTGAATGAAGATCAACTATTGTATACCGTCTTTTTATATTCATTGTTGATCAAAACATCATGTTTCGCCTCTGATCTACTCCCAAGTCATGATTTGTTCAGGATGTCCCAATCCGTCAGACAAAACCTCTGCTTTTGGGGGGCTGCCAAGATTCTTGTGTGCTCTGTCTCTGCTAAAGAACCGTTGAGTCAACTCTAAGCTTCGTGTAATGCTTCAGTGCTAGTCCCAGGAGCTATGGCCATTCAGCAACGGGTTCAGTGAGTGCATCACTTTAGCTTCCGAGTGGGAATCTTGACAGGCGCCACACTTGACGGAAATAGCAAGATGGTGGGCTCACTAAAGAATGCCACTGTGCTACCTTTGGCCGATCTACGGCCCGTTACGGGAGCCAAGATAGTCTAGTCTCCAGTGGCCATCCGGAGTTGTAACCGGGAGAGACTGCCCAGGAACACTTCATCCGGGCAGCACTGACGCTTTGTAAGCTCTATGGGTGGTTGTAACTTATAGCTTCACCTGATACGCCCAGACATCCTCCTGTTATGTAACAAACTCTCCGAAACAGAGTTTTGGGCGCCTTGTCCCAGATCTCGTAGATCATGATGGAGATTTTTGGCTCACTGTGTGCCTGCTTATGGATCTTGTCCTCACCCAAGCGGCCGACCCTGATCTCTGAGGCTGAAGGGTCTCGATGTGATGGGTCACATTCACATTCACATTCACAAAATTGTGATGCTGTTGGTTGAACCGGATCTGGGCTATGAGATAGAGTTACCGTGATGCAGGGGGATATCTGCAAGGAACCAACAGCGGGCGCTCTCGAGACCCTGAATAGATATCTACCGTAGATCCTGTCTCACACGCATGCTTCTCTGTCCCAATCACTCATTGAAGTAAAACGTTTCTCTTTTTCTCATTATGAAGCATCTTTTTATTCTCCTCAGTGCCTTGTGGTCTACACAGACTGCTGCACAGAGATACACTTACACAACCCGCACCATGACAGAATGCTTCAGTGCGACTCAAACCAGCTTTGGTCAGGCTGAGCCAACACAAGGCGCCGACAAGTACTGGACTGTTGAGATGCCTGAATGTCAAGATTGTCTCTGCACAGACTGTGCCTACACAAATACATACACCACAACACTCGATGTCTTTTCACCATCAGGCATCGCCAAGTTCCCTTATCAAGTCAAGGAAGTCTACAGGGGCATGTCAGCTATGCCAGCTGATGCTACACCAACTGCTGTTCCTTACGGCTTCACCTCTGGCGTCGAGACCTGCAGTATCTGCGGTGACGAGCCAGTAACTGCAACCATGACATATCCGCGCGGTGGCTCTCCATATCAAGAGAGTGTACCTACAGCAACACTAGCTGCGCAGTCTGCCTTCGAGCGTCCTTCAACATTACGAACTCAAGTTGCTGATACAGAAGCTACTGATTCACCTTCAAATGAGAACGATATAAGACCTCTCGAAAACACTGTTCTTGAGCACAAGGCCATTCAATACACTGGCCAGGGACCAGTCCTGGCTGACTTTGTCAAGTTCAGTCTTGCAAGCAAATCTGGCCCTGCTGCCAGAGACACCGGGTCAAAGAGACCTGGAAACCCATCTAGGGATATCAACAGCTACGCCAAGATGAGGTTCGACGCAGCTGAAGCAGCTCCATCGAAAGACGTTGATGGTGCAGCAGCTAGTAAACATCCACCAGCCGGCGTTGCTATAGCTGTGCTTGTGCCTATCGCACTTCTGTTATAGAACAGCCAATAAAACAAACAAGAAGAAGAGAAGAACAAAAAATTGAGGGAGATTTTCAGGAATGCATTCAGCGCCGGCGTTGCATAACTCATCTATATTCGGAAACGTTTCGTTTATCCATTTAATAATGATTACCACGGCCAACTATGGGAGAACAGGATACCACCAAGGCGTACAAGACGCCATTTGGAGGAAAGTAGAATAGTCAAAATATTAGCTAGATACCCCCCAATAAATAAGAATTATATGTACACTCAGGATAAACTTGTGATGTTGGAAGAAGGCTTAACACAGTTGGTGTGCCTTGGCTTGGTCAGATGGGATCGAGCACATCGGAGAGAATGTGATATGTTTCTTTCCGATTAGGTTATGACGGACCCCCTGCCCTGAACCCATTCCCATACTGAGCTTGGCGTGAAGGCTTTTAGTAATGTGATGTAGATCTGATAAACTTCAGTGCGAATACGCCATATACACACGGAGAAAAGCCTCAAAGTCTCACTCTCATTGGAGACTGGAGACTCTTCTAGGATGGTCACACAGAAGTTCAGAAGTCAACCTTGTGCCAGATCCAGAAAACCTCCCTCTGAGTGGTTGTTGAGTTTGGTGATGTCTATTCTTTGGTGGACTTATCATCCGTTTGTAGGTTAGGTAGCCCAAAACACACGAGGGCATTCGTGAGACAAGTTGATGAAAGGTGACGTCAAATATTTGAGATCAAAGATAACTGAATCACCAAATTGAACTAGTCAGCGAGACACTGCAGGGATAACGTATGGCTTTGAAGAGACGCAGTGTACACCGGTATACCTTAAGCATACATACCTCCCTCTCTATCAAGATCAACAAAGTTGGGTCAGCATCAACACTCCCATCTTAACACCTCTTTTTTATACGCGTAAGGCCCAACTCGCTCTCAACAATATGGCGTCAAAGATAAGTCTAGTGACTAACCACGGATCGATCATATGAACTCATGATAGAGGCCTCTCCCCGGGATGCGTTGTTTCAGGCATAGCCAAGTTTGAGCGGAAATGGAAGCATACACACTCCTGGCTGAAATCGTATTCGCCAACAACGCCTCCTCCTTAGTATTTTGTAGTCGAGCTTCTTGGGAATGAGAGAGCAAGCGGGCTTCTCGTGGAAGGCCGCTGAATTCTCAAGATCAGGAGGGCACATGAGCAATAAGTGATGCTCATGCTACTGAGCATATAGCAAATGCCGCAGACTTGTCAACTCTTAATTTGGTAAAGTGAAGTTTCTTCACCGCAGTGGCAGGAGACTCCTATCATAGAGATCATTATAGTAATAACATTCAAGTCATAAAATCTACTCTTTACTAATAAAATTCTATACCTCATTCTTATATATTATTTTCCTCTATAAGGCAAATGGCACTTCGATTACATTTCAATTAACACACTCTCCTACACTTAAGGGTCTGTAAACCACAAATTAGAAATCAATAGCAGAGTTACCACAACCTTATTTCCTATAGCAGCAATAGAATATAAGCCCAGTACCACTTATCTAATGGCAAGGCTGCTCTTTTATCTTTAAACATTCCGCGATTGATAGTTATATGGCCGAGATGAGCTGAGAGACAGAGAACCTGGGAACAACTTCTGGTATATCACGGAAACTGTGGTCTGAACTGCGAGCCTTCTCAAGGAGAGCACGAAGTTTCAGGAGTCAATCCTACATTTGTCCTCTCTAAATGATATATGAGGTTCAGTACTGATGCGAGTGCAGAGACAAGGAGAAGGTAACCTTGCATTTCAGATTTGAGGAACGAGTTCTGGAGCCGGAGTAATATTACCGCGCGGATCCTCAAGGACTGTAATTTTCAAGTGCTTAATTCGAGTCACTACTCATCAGACCAAGCCAGGGTCCTGTATGAAACATTGCTCGCAATGTGCGAGACATAAGTATCCGTACAGTTTCTTTTATTGATCTATCCACAATGAACTATTCCAAAATGGCGGATCGAGATTTTTTATATTTCATTTTATTAGAAATGGCAAAACCGAAGCTATTCCCATGTCGATGCATGCCAGTGGAAAATGATAGGCGGAGGTAATAGACCCTTGTTGATGTGACCGTTTCACAGGCAGATTAGGTTGGACTTGGGCCCCGTTAGGATCCGCTGTGGCTCCTGTTGCGTACTGTAATTGCGACATTTTATCAGTGACACGTTGATCAGAGTCAAAATCTGCGTTGTGTCTTATCGTCAAGCCAATTCAATTCATGTCGTATCATGCGAGTCCAGTGAGTAAAGAGTCACATTCACATCGTGTTCAAGATGCATCTGCCGAGCAACCTTATGCAACAACAGCGAAGCATCCGTAGCATCCGGATAAACAACGTCATGAAAGTCAACAAAGCTGCGTAATGATCGTGGCGTCGGTTCATTTTTGGTGTCCTCGTGCAGATCCGATCCATCAGTTGAATTGACAACCGTCAGGTCTCATAGCCGTTAGCAAACACCGGCCACTCAAGCCCAAGGTCGTCGAACAGAGCGCTTCGGATGGAGATTATATAAAAGTCGGAATGGTGATGAAACTGCCGAGGCCTGTCACTCAGCTGAAGCATAAATTTAGATACCGCTATGCAGATTTCGGAATCCAGTGCGTTTAATTGGTGTTGACCTCTGTTCACTGTGGTCCCCAAGATTCTTCTCCAGTGGCGCAGCTGTGGCATTGGATGCCCGGTGATGTGTGTGTCCTTGGCGAGTCCTTGAGGTGGGCATACACTCACTTCCACAAGGCATCTTTGACGGTAACGCAGAACTTGTCGAGTCTTAGGGGTATTGGGCCCCTGGATTTAGCGCTGACATGGTCGATGAATTAGTCGATATCTAGAGGACGACTCAAGTTATTGATTCCATTAGAGGGAAAATACAAAGCCACACAGCCACATTGGAGGCAGCCCTGTCACTGCAGCGCTGTTGCGTCTAGCAACGCGTGGCCAGCCAGTGGAGGCTTAGGCTTAGGCTCAGGCCTGCCCCGGCCTAGGCGGGCGTCATGCTAGAGGAGGTCCCGCTGGCCAGGGAACCTGAGTAGAAGCTGGAACCTGTTTCGTCAGGGTTCGGTTTCCAAGTAGGCCATTGAACTTAATTCGCACTCATCCCAAACGTCCACTAGACTAACGACTTGGCCCTTTGTCAACACAAAACAACATCGATCCTATACATACATACATCCTCAAATAACGATAACGCTCTTTGTTTGTGTTTTTTGCTTGCATTTTCACCTGATAGATACCAGCGAGTTCATCTCTTCAGAGGCATTGACGACGATCCGATTCATCTTGGCTTGAGACGACCTAAGCCATTGCGATTTCAGCTGAAAAGCCAGCAAGCAAGACACATACATACATACTTTCGCAGCCTGATTTTTTCGCTTTATCAACGACCAGATTGCTTTCTCGAATCTTGCCCCCATCTTCCCTCCTACAAATCTCGAAAGTCTTCACATCAACCTCCAATATGCGGTTTGAAATCGACCCCGACATCGTCCCCAACCTGAAACTGGGCCTTCACTCTTTCCAAATCATCATATCCCTGGTCGCATGGTGTTTGCAGATTGGTGTTTTCAATGCAAAGGATGCAGAGGTCACTGGAAGGAATGGCTGGACCTTCGCAGTGGTATGTCAACATTTCGACAACTATTTCACAACGTGTATCGGGAGCTAACGATAGCTGCAGTGTTTCCTTTCCGTCCCAGCATGGATCTTCCTCATCATGACTCCCCGATGGGGCCGCACTCGTCGCTTTGCTCAACCGCATGCCATGCTTGCTGTTGACGCTGCTTTCACAATCATGTGGCTATCTGCCTTTGCTACTCAGGCTGCCTACAATGCCGCTGGTCAATGCGGAAAGGCATGCGGCATCAGCAAGGGTGTTGTCGGCTGTGGTGTTCTGGTAACGTATGTGCTGCGACTCGATCTCTGCTCGATCTTTACTGACCTCTGTAGCCTCCTCTTTGCTGGTTCAACCTTTGTTTCCGCATTTACCCTCAACTACTACAACAACCACAACATCCTGCCAGGTTACGACAACCGTCAGATGGGCAGCGACAACATCGACCCTGACAAGGCTGCTTTCTCCATGGCCCCTCACGGCGATGAGGCTTACGAGCGAGTCGACATGGACGATCACGAACCATCAGGCAGTGCCTACGGCGGAGGCTATAACAACAACAGCTACAACAGTCACTCCCGCTATGGTGATGCCAACCCCTATAGCGCCGACGACGAGGATCCCGATCGTTTTGGTGCCCTCCCCCCTCGAAACAACACCCTCTTCGAAAACGACACTGAGTACCACTCCGGCGGTGCTCCTCCATCAATGCCCGCCAGCTACGCCAACCCAACAGGTGGTCATCCTTACGAGGATGTCCCCGCACAATTCCCCGCTGGCAACTACGATAGGGGGCACTAAGTAGCAACAGCCTGATAAATGAAAGAAAGGATATATCGGTCTCTTTTTTATGCAACGGTGTTCATTTTGATTGGGTGTGGAATAGCCTGGGATACTGCGTCTGGGATGCGGGGTTCACATGTTTTGTACGGTAGATAACGCCTCTGGTCGAGGAGGGGCGTTTAACGGCGTCATGACTTTCGCGGAGACAACTTGGGGAGATGGATCTTATAATAGGATTTACAATTATTAGTTTATTATTATTGATCCTTTAGTATTAAAGCCTTATTAATAATTACTTTAATACAGGAACGAGAGGTCATGTATGCAAGGCTGTACCGATCTATATTGCTGCGGGGAGGATTGGCGCGACTTCGCTCTATCTGATCGTCCAAAATCCCCCTTAACAGCTGCCGGTCATATATGATATGGACTTCACCGTGATGACGATGGGCAGATTCTGTGGCACATAAAGCGGAGTCAATGCTATGGCAACTATCATCAAGTAATCACATGAACCTTGCGTTGAATGACCTGTATGCTAATGAGCCCAACCTGGTGCTTTCGCGGATGCAGTCTATACTAGCACAGCAAACCATCTATATGCCTGATGGCTTTCGAGGTTCCAGAAAGCCTCGTAGGGTAAGCCGGCATATGGTCTCTATCGCAACTTCGGCCCCTCGCCGACTTAATTGAGGACAGGTCTTACATAACGTCCCAGATATCTTCAGCGGCATGGCAGAACTTGCTGCAAGTAATACTAGCAGATAGAGAGCAGTTGCTGATGGAGACCTTCTAGTTGACAGGCGTGTCGGCGAAGTTATCCTTGCCCTTAGCCATAGCGCCAACGATCGCATGGCGAGCAGGGGTTCCTTTGCAACGGTCTAGCACATCCTATCGAGAAATCAGCACCGCTTCCCTGGGTGATCTGACTCTTTCGGCTCCATGTACCGCGGAATTAAGGAATCTACCAACCACAGTCAGGATCAGGGTCGTGGAAGAGTTTCTTATGGAGAGGCTGGCTGGTGAACCCCAAAGTTGCCTCTACTCTTCCTCCCCCTCTGCTGGGGCGTGGCCCAGGGCCCTATCAGGCGTTCCAGAAACATATCGCCCCATCAATCACAACTTGCTGCACCCCTAAACATCCAAACTCGATAATTGACATATAGAATGCGAGCGTCGGGCTTTGCTAACCGCAGCTTAAAGTTGACGCCATACTGCTCCCGGAACGTATCTCGACCGATCTACAAAGCAGCAGGCAAGGGTGGCAAGGAAGATAATATTAGTTTTAATTCTATCGAATTTGCATGTCTATTGTTATAAGTCACGGGAGGGATTAGCATGAGGGTAACCGCGGATGCCTCAGATTGCATTAACGAACTTGGACTTTCCAATAAATCGCTCGAGGCTTGCTGTGCTCTTCTCGACAGATGGCGTCAAGTGACCCCTGGACCTCTTACAAAGCCACTCTGTCAATTAAGGATCCCATGGGCTCGAGCATCCTCTGTGTGGAGTCTCGTCGAGTAACCCAAAACTCAAGTGTCCGCTGCCTGGTTTCGTGAAGCTCGGCAATCGGACAGGCAGAGGGAAGGCGGTAGCTCTCCTCAAACTTAAGGTAGGTAGTCTCAAGAGCCATGCCATCCATACCTACCTACCTACCTAGGTAAGAAGGATATTGGACGTCGCATTGGCTTGAATTTTGGCATGAAGACAGGATGTCACGGTGGTTTACCAAAACAAGATGTCAGCATGTTTGTTGATAACATAAAGGATATAGAACATATGAATGAAACATAGAGATGCAGCGTAGTAATCATAACAGAATATCAGATGAGACTCCGCATAATATCGGCTAGTCGTATAACAAAGAGATCCCCTCCACAGCTTCATCAAGATAAACTACCACAACATATCAAAAAACATCATACGAATAATGAGTGCCGGGTTGCTCAATAACCAACGGGTGTAGGAGGAGCCCACGCCGGATGGAAAGGGCAACCTGACAATCAAAATCCCCCCCAAGAGAAAAGAACACCGCTCGGCCCTCATTCGGAGTCACCGTTGTCGATGAGTCCCTCATGATAGAGTTCCAGTAAGCCAACTATTAAAATGAAGCATGTATGAATGGGTGAAGACTTACCAGCTCATGCGCAAGAGTTCTGGCCTGTTGGAGGTAGCGGACTAGGCGGAGCCATTCTTCTTCACGTTCGTTCTCTTCTTCTTCACAAAGGCGATCCATAATATCATGGATATTGAAGCAGGTTTGTTTGATAGAGTTGGCGATGTATTGTCCCTCTGCAATATATGCGTTATCGTGGAAGTCATGGAAGTCGAAACGTCCGAGTCTGTCTATTGCCCAGCTGACCTCTAGGACGAGTAAACTGGTGCTGCTGACAGAAGCCCACCATGTGTGGCCGTCAGTGTACCACATTACCCTGAAGATAACGTTGGTTCTCCAGCGGTAGTAAGCGCAGGTGCCGAGGTGATCTTTATGTACTATATATATATATAAGGCACTTTAAATTCCCTTATGCTTATAGTTATTCTATATTTTTGACAGTTTAAAAGTTTGGCTATGTGGAATAAAAAGTACATGGCGTCTTATATTTTAAGATGCTCGAATCCAACTCCCAACGCCTTCTGTTCTTAAGCCAGTTTTGATGCTCCATACTTGATGATTTAGTGACTCCATCCTATTCATCCCTATAGCCCTGCTCTTCTTTGGTGTAACCCGCTTCTACTCCTTGTTCATCTTGCGGATTCGCCTGGCGATATCAGCTGCGGTCTGTTGCATGGGGTTCAACTTTCGGTCCCTGGCCATGGCCGCTGTATCGTCGCCATACTTGGCTACGAGCTTCTCCAACCATTCCCTCTCCCGGGTACTCTGGTGTCTCTTCTTGGGAAGATCAGGTTGTTTGCTCTGCTCCAGGAGAGTCTTGACAACATCGGTCGCATCAGCGTCGTCCTCAATACCACCCCACTCCTCGGCAGGCTCAGCGTCACTGTCGTTGTCGAGTTCGTTCAGAGGATCTTTGAGCGGGTTGGGCTTGGCCTCGCCGAGAATACGGATAATCTTTCCGTCAGCATCGCGCTCGACACGTGCCTCTGATACAATGGCGTTCTCCATGGTGGCGATAGAGAAGGGATCATTGGGGTATGCGCGGGTTGTGGTTGCGCCAAGCTTCTTCTCTGTTCCACCGGTAGGGGCCTTGAGACGCGCTACGAGACCGAGGCGACGATAGTTTTGAGAAAGAGTCTCCTTCTTGTTCCTTCAGGGAGTTAGCCTTGCGCTTTCGTCCGTGGCTCGGAGATTGTCCATACCAGTTCTTTGCAATGGCATCGTTGCCTCGGGGGTTAAGGATCTTCTTGGATCTGTTAAGTTGACGGATAGGCTGGCGGCCTGAGCGGGCCTTCTTCTTTTGGAGTTCGCGACCCATAGTTGATAATGTGAAGTCTTGTGCTGGTTGAGATGTCAATAATTCAAGACGGTTAAGCCGTCCAAAAAATGCCCGCCAAAATTTGATCGCAACGTCTTATCGATAAGATGAGTGGGGCGCTAGTGGAAAGTGCTCCAGCCTGCCAACCTCTTGTTTATATACCTTACCCAATATGAGCACCAAGAATAGCTTCTCTAAAGATAATTCCAACAAATCTTATAATAAAAGGTCTTGCTCTTGCCTCGATCACATCTTGCAATGGAGTAGGTGGTTTCCGAAACTCATCTCATCTTGCTCACTCAACCTATTGGTCTGGTACACCAAATTCATGCCAAGACACCATGTTATTCATTAATCGTCTTTATCTACCTAATATCCAACTGCTCAAGAGTTGTTAAACCTTGAACTTCCGAGGATCCAGCTTATCAACGTCAGCACTCTTTGCCCCTCCGTCAAACACAAACTCGGACATGAGCTTGCCCGTCCCAGGACCGTTCTGAATTCCCCAGCATGTATGTCCTGCAGCAACGAACAACCCAGGCACAGTCGTTCTGCCGATCAAAGGACCGCTCTCTTGTCCAAATCGAATATGCCTTGGGAGATAACATGCTTGTTTCGCCTTGATGGGAGCCGCGGCTAAAACGGGACTGAAAGTGCTGATGTATGAGATTATGTCGTCACACTGAGCCTCGTCGCATTCGACTTGATCTGCGGTTTCGGGCAACGGGACATTTGTATCTGGTTCACCACAGGCATAGGCCTCATTAAAAGGTCGAGCATAAATCTCTGGATCCACGTTGCCCCTGTGCCTCCTTTTCTGCCCCATCTTAGCACGATGCTCGGGTACAAAATCTGGAGGAAGCTGTATATCTGTAAAGACAGCATACGGGCTAACGTTTGCGTCGAAGACAACGCTATGCGCTCTCAGGCCCTCGATCCTGGCCCGAGGCAAGACTTTGTTCGTCCAAGGACCAGCTGCCACGACTATATCTGTCACGCTGGCAATGGTCTTGGTCTCGCCTGTGGTGCGATCTAGATACTCTATGCTTTCGACACCATTCTTTGTGGAGTTTATCTTGGTTACCTTGGCGTTGGTGTGTATTTGAGCGCCGCCTTGCTGAGAAAGTTCTGCGATTGCTGTTGTGAAATGTAGAGGATGCACTTGAGATGTTTCTGTCTTTCCGGGTGCGCCCATCTCAGACCAGCTGTTAATGATGCTGTGGTCTACCCAGTCGAGATCCTTCGGCAAGATGCCTTCCTCTAGGAGTTCTTTTGCTGCGCCATTCTGCTTCGGCAGTTTCTCCCAGTCTTTCCCATTCTCATTGCCGTTTGCGCTTCCATTTCCGTTGGCTTGGAGTGATTTGATCTTGTCGCGCGTCACGACAGCATCAAAGCTACCGCAGCCGAGTTGGCGATAACCCCATCTCTGAGGCCCATTATGCTCAGCAGCCAGCTCTGCATGCAAGCGATATGAGAGGGGAACTAGACATTCTGGATAAGCCCAGAGAGCGAGAAGACCACCAGCTTTGCCTGATGCACCTTGTGCGACAGTAGGAGCAGCCTCAAGAAGGGTAACAGTATGTAACGCTGGGTTGAATTTCGAATGGCGTGTAAGATAGTAGGCCGTGGTTGAGCCAATGATGCCGCCTCCTGATATTTTTATCAGCCTTGTGGTCCGATGTATGAGATGAGGTTATTGAGATATGACGGGGATGACAGAGAGCCCTGTAAGTGGCGAGGCGACTTACCAACGACGACGATGTTTCTCTTTGCGTCCATATCCAACAGAACACGACTCAGGAGACTTGAAATGAGCAAAACTGAGTTGAGGAGCAAGACTCAAGCTGTAATCTAGGTACTTGTCATGAGCATGATCAACGTTTTGGCGTCCGATCAGATGGGAATCGGAAAGAGTTGGGGTCCAGTACCTTAGTGACGTACAGGCCGCGCCACCACCTGCACCGCCACATACATGCACTCTGGATAAGGCTTATCGATAAGTGATAAAGCGGCCGCTCCTCTGAGAATCCATGAATGTGTTTAGCGGGGCAGCTCCGAAATCCGAACCGGAGCTATTACTGAGCCGGGGAGTAGCTATGAAATAAATCGGCAGAGTATTGCACCGACATCAATTGATTCCAAATAGAAGAAGAGGGATTGGCAGAATTATATAAAAAGACCGAGTGTGTAGAAAGAGGCTCTGATATTGAGTTATACAGTTGAAGCTATGTTTGTAGTGCAAGTCTTGTTCTGATTAGCGAGTGATAGTCCTCACTCAGCTGGGCACTTTAACCGCTTTTGACCAGATATATCCTTCTATTATGCTTCAGCTCACATAAACATGAAACATATAAAACAAGTCATGAGTGAACGTCAGGAACAATTCCAAATAACGCCTAATATCTATCTGAACCCTCGGTACCGGCGGAATTGGGGACCCCGAACACTCCACCCCGAATACGTCACCAAACCAAAAATGGAGTCAAGTGCCGAGGCTTGTAGAAGTGTAGAAGCAGTCTCCATGCAATCAATTACCGTTATTGTGTAACTCGGATTGTTTCTTCAGGTTTATTCCCTGCTGCTCTACTACTAATTCTACTGCAACTGTACCTGTGCCTGTACCTGTACCTACTAATCTAATGTCCCTGTGGCGTGCTACTGCTCCTCGTTGGTTGACCTTACGGCCATCACCAAGTTCCAGTTCCCGCTGGCTTAATAAATACTACACCACCACCGCTACGACTTCTTTTCGTTCCCCGCCATCCTCACCTTTCAACACAAAACACAAACACTGCAGCCCTCACCAGAGAAGCATCACTCATAACCATTCCCGTCAACTGAGTACAACTTCAAAGATGGCTTCTGCTACTAGCTTTTATGACTTTAAGCCTCTTGACAGTATGTGTCTCCCCCCTCATCTCCTCTCATACCCCGCCTTAACCACACCACTTTCATGATAGCCTTCTCATGACTCTCAACTAACATATCTCAGAGCGCGGTCAAGAGGTACCCCTCGGCGACTACAAGGGCAAGGTCGTCCTCATTGTCAACACAGCCTCCAAGTGCGGCTTCACTCCCCAGTATGCTGGTCTCGAGAAGCTCTGGACCAAGCTCAAGGAGCAGTACCCCGAGGACTTTGTCATTCTCGGCTTCCCCTGCAACCAGTTCGGTGGCCAAGAGCCCGGCACCGACGACGACATCCAAGAGTTCTGCCAGCTCAACTACGGCGTGACATTCCCCATCATGCAGAAGACCGAGGTCAACGGCGACAACACCAACCCTCTTTGGGCCTGGCTCAAGGACCAGCAGTCGGGTCTTTTGGGCCTCAAGCGCATCAAGTGGAACTTTGAGAAGTTCCTTGTTGGACGTGATGGAAAGGTCAAGGGACGCTGGGCTAGCACCACCAAGCCCGAGTCTCTGGAGGAGCCTATCCTGAAGGCTCTTGCTGAGAAGACTGAGGCTTAATTTGAGATGAGTGAACGGCAAAAGGCGTCGCTGCTGAACCCCTTCAATCTAAAATGAGATACCCTGTTGAGGCCAGACAGCGACACGAGGATTATGAAGTTTTAATGAGGGCTTTTAGGCCCATGCGTACTGCTACATAAACTAATACAAGGATTTAACCAAGTTTAAACTGTTCTGCCTGTAACATCTGATAATCATGAAGCTTTGTGACTTGGCGTCATTCATCCCAGTGGCATAATTTCGACGTACCAATTAGTAACCCAATAAGCAGATAATTGTTTTACTATGTACTTTCGAAGCATATTGACTAACTAACTAGAGCAATAACTTTTATGTGATACCATAGTATCTTTTCTCATCTCACAACCCTCGTGGCTCACTTACACCCAACTGGCACCCAATCTGATTCCTCCAACCACTCATCTTACACGTTTTCATAGTAATACCTAGTTCCAGGGTCGTACTCGAGCCAGACCTCCGCTTCCATGGTATCAATCTGGGCGACAACTTGTTGCCAAAGGTAAATCTCAAAAGCTCCTGGCATGATCGCAGGAACAGCGACAGCACACCTAAAGGTTCCCTCCCCCTCGGGACTCAGAATCATGATGAGATTACGCCCAGGCAGACGGTAGAACCCTGGAGTGTCATCAGACGGATTCCAGCTAACCACCATTCCTGGTCGAAGACGCTCTTTGAAAGGGACATCTGCCATCTCGGGTCTCGGGTCTTGGCTTGAAAGCCACTGTTTTCCAGCTTCTTCTTTCTCCGGCTTGGCGTCTTTCTGTGTCGCCTTTGGCTTGTTGTTAGCGGCTCGCTGTGAATCGATGTGAAGACGCCAGAATTTGGCTTGGAAGGCGGTCGCTTGTTCGAGCGTGACGCCAGGGGTCTTGAGGCAGCGTGTGATGAACTCTGGAACCGGGAGTCGAAGAAGTTGGATACCCGTCTCTCTGGGTGCGAGAGCCGTAGGGGAGACAGGTGGAGTGCCAGACTGTAGATGGATGATGTTAGCCAGTTGTTGTTGTTATTGACAGCAAGCTAGGACTCCATGACTTACGTTCTTGAGAATCCAGTCGTGGAGAAGATCCTGGGGCCAGGTGCTCGGCTTTGAAGCATCATATTTCGGCACGGCAGCTTTAGGAACGGTTATTCTGAGCATTTCTCCGTATCTCAGCGTATTCTTGGTAGCGCCAACGTCAAGGAAGCTTGGTTTGACACAGGCTACGACGACGGTTTTGCAGCTGCGCTCAGCAGCAGGATCAAAAACATGTTTCAGAACTTTAGTCAGAGCACTCTGCCGAAACGGTACGTAGACCTTCTTGCCAGTGGCGAGACCTGCAGCGTCGACACTGGCCCTCCCGCGGATGCAATCCTTGAGCACAGAAAGGCTAGCATTGATCTCTCGAGATTCTTTGATCCGCTGGGCTGAATGCTCGGTGACATCTCTTGCGGCCTCTGAGCCGGCAAGGTCAATCAGATAGAGAAGCCCATCGTCAGATTGGGGAAGCTCGGGGTTCTCGAGGCGAATCTTGCAGATA